TTCGCAGCTAAGTATCAACCATGCGGGTCATTGCTGTTTTGAAAGCATCAACATGGAGGGCGTTGAGTGTCCTTGTAGGGAGTGATAGTGGCAGAGTGTGGGTCATGCTCTACATTGAATCGCGGGTGGTGGGTCGGGCTATAGGTCTGTCCTCGGGCTCGACCCTGTCATGCGGGCGGCAAGGTAATTCTATTGGTGGCCGCTTGACCCAAGGAGGGAGTGCCACTCTGTGATGGCATCATCATGGAGGGCGGTATTGAAGTGTGGGTTGGGCTATGGGGTCTGATGTTTGGTGCGACCCTGCCGTGCGGGTGTTAAGGTAGTTTCCCCAGTGAGATGGTGGATTTCCTATGTGTTTCTGACGTCTTCTGACCTATCTCTTCAGCCAGTTTGGCCATATAATTCCCGGCGATTGGTGTTCCTTTCAGTAGGGTTAGGGTTTTGCAGTGCTTCTTGGCTTGTCTCGACACTGTCGACAGTGACTGTGGCCTTGTTTTTGGGCTTGGCCGGTGATGCCTCGCCCATTGATGGGAACACCTCCCTTTTTGTAAGGAACGCCAGGCCCGTCCCCCGACTTTTGTCATATACAAAGCTAAGCCCTGTGATGCTACCATTGCCCTTCCCCCCCCCAAACAAAGAAAAACAAGGTTCTTTTGAATTCATGAACTTCCTGCTCTTGTCTCAACTGTCAATGATAGTTTTTCTTTTTCCTTTTTTAGCCTGGGGTCACAGTTGGGTGCACATGAAACTAGTAAAGTACACAATCACAGAAAAATAACTCTGCAGTTTTAAGCTTGCTTCAGTACTATGATCGTTGTACTTCGCCGTGGGCACTCAGGGAAAGGGAAAAAAAAACACAGCAGTCAGCACAAACCGAAGAACTCGACAATTCCCACCAGGAACACAGCTTGTCCGCAGCCACAGCAGGTGCAGAGCTTGTGATGGAACCCAGACACAGCTTGTCCGCAGCCACAGCCAGCTACACAATTGGGGCGCATGGATGGATGCATGGTGACTATCAGTTCAAACACGTCAGGGAACACCCATGCATCTCTTCAGCCCTCTTGTGTCACTATCTGATGAACATCCTCTCCACCTCCAGACACCAGTGATATTATGTCACTGTCACTTCGCCAGGCCTTTAACAAAGACAACGTGAGGGAGGCAGACATTTACATTTCAATGAGTTGAATGAACCATCCATGATCCCCGTCATTCCAGTCAAATGCAAAGTACACCACTGGAAGTTCCGACGCGAACAAAATACCCTGTGGCCTGGGCCACATGTCGGCAAGTCAAACACAAAACAAATGGACTGATGGAGATGGCTAGAAAGAAAAAAAGATAGAAGGCTTCAACCACCCACCCAAAAAAGAACAACAAAAAGAACAAACACAGACAAATGAACACAGATAAATGCAGATGCCGGTTAAGAAAAAGTAACAAGAATTGTGCAGGCCAGTAAAGCAACTGCCAGCAATTCACCGAGTCAGCAAGTGATAGAGGAAGAAGCTCAGCAACCAATAAAACAAATATCTTGTGCTTCTTAAAGCGAGAGACATACCAACCAGATATCTTTTATTTACCTAAAATGAGACACCTCACACCTATCAAAGGGCCTCAGTAGGTACTCCCAAGAACTGCTGAAGTAGAGACCTCAGTTCAAATCCCGATGGAGCTCAATGAATGTAAAAAGGAAAAAGAAATGAGACCCCCGCACGCACAGGACCCATTGGCGTCAGAGCAATACAATTTTCAGGTGGGGAGCTGGGTGCACAGCCCGTAGTTGGGGAAAAGGGTAATGTATTGATTCTGCTGTGTTTGCGTTTTATCAAGTTCACTATACGAGACCCCAAGAGAGTGTGTGTGCGTGTGTAAAAATCAGATCCCACCGCAAAATCCATGCCATGTACCCCACCACCACAGTGGTACACCAGGCCCTGATCATGTCCAAACTAACACTCTCTGCTGCCATTTTACTTCTCTGAGGCTACCTCATGCATCCGTGGCTGATCATGACCAGCTTTCTTAGAGTCCCACATCAGATGGAGGGCATGCAGGAGGTGAGAGGGCAGACAAGACGCAGGCAAACAAAAAAACAACAACTCAAAAGATGCCAAGACCAGGAGGTGACCAATAGGCGGCGGGAGGGCAGACGACATCCAAACACACCGAGCAGGCAAACCAAAAAAATATACAAGTCCCACAAAATTGAAAGACCGAAAAAAATAATAGCTGATGATTGTTTCATTTTTTCGTTGGAGTCGCACCGACTCATCAGGAGGTTGAACCCTCCACAATCTCGGGAATCTCCGTATGTGATGGTTTGGGTCATGCACTCTCTTATGTGATCTTTTGGGTCATGAACTCTCTGACCCTTGTTGAAGGCAGACTGTTACCAAGCGGAACATAGCAGCGGGCAGCAACCCTGTGGAGCACCAGGCAGCACAGTAGAGGCAACACAGCTGCACCACCAAAAACGACTGCAAGGAACGGCATGGCATGCAGGACATGAAGCGCGGCAACCGTGTAGTGAAGCACAAGGCAACACAAGCAAGGTAACCATAATGCAAAGGACGACGGGGAGAGAAGACCAGCAGCTCGGCAACCGTGGAGCGAAGCACAAGGCACCAGCAACAAGGCAACCATCCAACAAGGCAACCATCCAACAAGGCCCACAAGCAGCAAACACGGAAGCCACGACCAGTGGAAGGGCAGCAAGGCAGTGGAGCAGCGAAGCGCAAGGCAACACGAACAACACGGCCACACCACACAGCGAGCACATCAACCTGCAAAGAACCACATGTGAAGCAAGCAGGACAGGCAGCAGGGCAGCGGTGGAGCGCAGACGAGGCTGGCTGTCCACACATCCAACACGGAGCAAAGCGGCACATGACCTACTCACATCACGATTAAACCCCGTGGACTGTTGGTTCCCACCACCCACTGAGCCAAGGAGACACTCCGACGTGCATCTGTCATCACCCACAGGCAACACAGACAACCCGAACCGAGCAGGCCCCCTAAGAGTGCAGTAGGCAGTCCAGAACTGGAACCACCAAATGTTTGGCACTACTTAAGGGTGCTCAGTTTGGGTAAGCAAAAGTACTTGGAAAAAGATTAGGGGGAGGACAGACAACAACAGGAAAACAGACAAACATA